CAGCAGAATAAAAATAACCAAAGATGTGACAAATATTATTCTGCTTGTTATGCTAAATAGAATTGTTTAAAGAAATGAATGAAAAAACACTACTGATTTTGATTTATCCATCTGTCAATGTTTGCAATTTTAATACACCCTCAAAACTCACAGGATTTCTGTTGATTTGGTTTTTATTATAACTGCTTTATTTCCACAGAAATGTATGTTAAATTTAGGGGGTTTGACAATATTTTTTTTACTCTGCCTTTTAAAGCAAGTATTTTAAATAAGATTAGGAAATAAAAGTGCACAGGAGTTCTGTGTTCTAGTGGTTGAGATTATAGCCTTTTAGTTTGTCTTTTTTGTTTGTGTTTTTTTTTTTTTTTTTTTTTTTTTTTTTTTTTTTTTAAATAGCATGGGCCAAACAAGAAACAGTCTTTGAAAGTGGTCAGTGCTGACACTTTAAAAGTGTATGCAGTCTTCTAAATTGGGCGATTTAGAATGTTTTAGGCAAAAATGGCAGTATAAGTGTGTGTTTATATCGCTTGTCTGTGATCAAAATATTATCAAGTTCTTGATAATACGTGAATGAATAGGTTCAAGTGCTTGTCAGCCTGAGTGCTAACAACGTGTACACAGGCACCTTTCTTCAGTTACTCCATTATATTCATTGGGCTTTCTACATATTAAAATTCTTGAAGCAGGAAAAAGCCCTAGTCATCTTTTTTTTTTAAAAAAAAAACCACCAACATCTACAATTTTGTGGTATAAAACGCCTTCAAATTATGTTGATGCACTTTAGTTATGTTTTCTCCTCTCTACTTGTAGGTCAGAGCAAGACATAAAGAAGATCTAGCATTGTGGCAGCTAGTGGTTTGAAAGGCTGCTTTTTCATTTGAAAAGAGTATGTGCAAAAGATCGGTTTACAGACAAGGCACCTCTGCTTCTCCCTGCCTCTTCTGAGGCATGCCATGGTTTGGGGTTTTTCTTTCCCTGATTTTTAAAAGGTGTGTGCTAGGAATTAAGTGTGTACAGAAAATATCCCCCAAAGTCGATGTTTGATTCTGCAACCAAAGCATGCAGAACTAAGTTAATGCCAGTTTTTAGATTTGCTTTGCAACCGTGACCTGACTTCAGTGGGGCAACCAGTTAGGAGTGAAAGGAGTACGATTGCAGCTTCTCGATGTGGCTTTTCTTATGCAAGTAGAACACATGCATTGTTCAGACCATTCCCAGTCTGGGGAGGTTGCAGAATTGCAAATGGTAGAATGTCTGCAAGGTTTTGACTGTCTGCTGTGTTTATACTGATGCCTTGTCTTCCTTGACTTTTGAGAGGTTAGTGTAACTTGTTGCCACTGCTTAGTCTATGAGGGA